GGGTGATCAAAAACAGACTCTGCCTGAGTCTCCACAGAGATTCGATCCCGTTGTTTGTGTCCTGGGCAGGGAGGGATTCTCCTCTGGGAGACACTACTGGGAGGTGGTGGTGGGAGAAAAGACTGGCTGGGATTTAGGTGTCGCTAAAGAGTCCATCAACAGGAAGGGGAAGATTATACTGAGTCCCAGCAATGGCTACTGGACAATATGGCTGAGAAATGCAAACGAGTTTAAAGCTCTTGCTAACCCTCCTGTCCTCCTGCCCCTGAGCCTGAAGCCCCAGAAGGTGGGGATATACCTGGATTATGAGGAGGGACAGGTCTCCTTTTACAATGTGGAGTCCAGGAATCACATCTACACTTTCACTGACACCTTCACTGAGAACCTCTACCCCTACTTTAGCCCTAATCTTAAAAGCAATGGAACAAATGCTCACCCAATGATAATCACATCTGTTGATGATATTGACTTATCATGAGAAAATGACAGACACAAAGCAGTGTCTGACAGCAAAGTCTTTTGACGCAGAGCTGTTATACAGCAAGACCTTTTAAAGCAAAACGATCAATTTCAAAGGACAATAACATCCTTCTTTTGACAAGTGTTACACAGCTTTAATCTCTTGGCAGTATTCGACATAACAAATGCACATCTGCAGATTTAGAGAATGTCTCTAAGGCTTCACATTTGAAACGCAGTTCCATATGATAAATGTACATTGTATTTTATTATAACATTTAATATTTCAAAGGAACAAGTAATAGGTTTATTCCATGCTGAATACGTTGTGTTCTCTTTCTTCTTTTTTTCAGCATGGAATGAACCTTTACTTGTTCCTTTGCAGCCTACGCATGCTGACACAGCTACCCACCTGATTTAATATTTCATCTTTCTTTTGTCTTCTTAACATGCAAAGCTGGTAATTAACAAATGTCTAGTCTCTGCAGTCAGATGGAGGCAGGAAATGCAAGGGTTTATCATACTAAGACCCAGTGGCTTTCTCAGGATGTGAAGTTTCAGTTAACACATAGGTCACTGAGTGACGTGACTAAAAAATGACACTTGACACCAACCTTATTTTTAGCCCAAAACTGTGTATGTGTGGTTTGTCTGCTCAGCTTCAAATGTGTTATGATGGCTAACTACTGTGGCGATTTTCAGTAGCACTCTAACAGATGACTTCTCCTTCCGAAAGAAGTCCCTTAGAACTTCCACTTGTCATTCTGTGTCATTTTCCCACTAATGATCAGAATTAATGCCATTGTTGACCGTATCAATAATAATAATAATAATAATAATAAACTCTTTGCACTTATGGAGTGGTTTTCATCCAAAATGATTTCATATACCTTGATATATTCTCCACTTAATGTCCGTTTTTCTAGACTTGAAGCACTGAGCTCTCTATGATACTCTGCATTGGTTTCTATAGAGCAGGGGTGCACAACCAGTCGATCGCAAGAATGTTTGGCAAAAAATAAGTGGGCTATTCGACTACGTTTTTCGAAAGCCCAAATATTCATTCAGATCTGTGTATGTGATTTCATACATTTTACTGCCCTTGTGTGTGTTTAAGCCTTGTCGAATGGGTTGTAAAAGTCTCTTCCCTGAGTGCTGGCTGACACTGAAAAATAGGCAACAGGAGCTCCGTTAATACAGTAGAGAGTGTTGTGTGTGTGTGCGCTACCCAAGAACGGTCTCTTGGTTATTACCGCACGAAGCCCACATTCGCTACAGTGCATAGTGGAGCGAAACAGACTGGCCGTGACGAATCCGCTAACAGTTTGATCAGTTTGATCGCCTATTTGATAGCGAAAATGATGAAGCAAAGAGACCGAAAACGTACTGTCACCACAAAGAATGGGAGCATGATTTATTTTTTGTACTTTCACATTCAAATCTGCAATGCTAGCGTCTACACGAAAAAGGGAAATATAGAACAACATTTCAAAACTGCACACAAAATGTATGATGTGGACTTTCCCTGCTAAAGGTGAGTTACAGAAAAAGAAGAGTGGAAAAATTAAAATCTCAACTAGCAGCACTCGGTTTTCACAAGGCCTAATGTTGTAAGAGGTAAAGTGGCAATCATCACATCGTTCCGTGTGAGCCACCTCCTGGCTCAACACAACAAGTCATTCTGGGATTGAGATTTAATTTTAAAAAAGCGTTTGCTGAGGCTGCTGACTTGAGATTTCAAAAACAAACATTTTTGGCGAGGTTCAGACAGCTGTTGCCTGAAATCAAAGAGTTTCTCTAGTCACCTAACCATGGTGAATATCCCCAATTAGAGGATGACCAGTGGCTTCTGGATTTAGCATTCCTCACAGATATGACTGAACTGCTGAATGAGCTGAATGTCAAGCTGCAGGGACAACATAAAAATGCCATCATGATCAGCAGTGTCAACACGTTCAAAAAAAAAACTACAAGTGTTCTCAAGACGTTTCTCAGGTAGGCTATTATTTTTTCTAAAATGGAGAACATTACTGGTTCACTGTAGCACGAGTCACTTGCTTTTATTTGCTGTCATTTTAGTGATGGGTATCGTTATTGTACTGATGTGTCCACAGTCTGTTTTTCCTATATCAGAACTTCACATTCACACTGGTAGATCATGCTGGACTGCCAAGTGAAAGAGTAGATCTTTCATTAAACAAGGTTGGGCACCCCTGCTATAGTGGTTTCTAGGTCAGTCATACAGTAAAGGAAGCCACCTCTTCCTCTCTGAATGTGGTGAGCATGTGTTGTTTCACCATTCAGTGATGAGCAAATACAAAGAGAACTGTGCTCTCTTGCTTCATTGTGTTCTCACTATACTTCATCAAGATAATAATAATAATAATTGAGTGTGTGTGTCTGTGTCTGCCCCGTACTGGACTGGACTTGACTTTCAATCAATCAATCAGTTTTTATTACTATACTGTGCCTTTCAAACCACATTCGATTCAAGAGCACTCAATGCACTTTATTCAAAGCACTCAATGTTCACTCAATTGGTCTGTATTACCACCTGGCCTATTTCCAGGTCTTTAGTGATTGGGAACGACGAGTCACCCACTTTATCTGGCGGATTGTGATCCTCCAGGATCAGGACTGCGTCTTTGAATCAGAAGTCTGAAACTCCACCCACATTGCAGGATCATTCAAAGAGTTGCTAGAGTGTACAACAAGCTGCCCAGCTATGCTGATCAAGCTCAGTGCAAGAGATGGCTGGATGAGATCCTCTAGTCACTGCTGGGGGGGACTTCTTTACACAAAGGGTGGTTGAAGTGCAGATCAAGCTGCCCAACCATGTTGGTGAAACCCATACCTTGGAAACAGATGAGATGTCACCATGCGTAGTTCAGGACAGTATAATCCGGAAGTAAGCGGAGAAGGACAACAGGGAGGAGACAATGAGGATCAGGACAGGTTGAAAGACAGGGGGATGTGATGCCGGTAATCTGGTGCTCAGGGAGCAACTCCAGAAAAAGGGAAACCAGGGCACGGTCCAATATCCGAAAACCCGGAGGTCCATTCAAGACAAAGACAAGAGTAAAAACAAGGAACAGGGACATGGAACCAGGAAGTTAAAAATTGACTGACAAGGCCAGGCGCTCCAAGCCCCGGATTCAGTTGGGTCAGGACGCCGATAGTAGGCCTATGCCCTCAAGCCATGAACGTATGGCGACTTGATGGTAGGCAGGCCTGAGGGCTTCGGTCTTCCAGTGCTGAGCCGGGAGCAGCAAAAGTGCCAGGCTTAAATAAGGAGGGACAAACAGAGGGCAGGTGCGCATGATCAACTTGAATACGAAAGAGCTGGAGCGGCCTTAAGAGGAGGGATTCCGATCGGGACATGAGATTCTCCGATCAGGAGAATCACGTGTCTCCAATCAGAAGAATCACTTCGAGTTTAGATTCTGGAATCATGATGAAGGCATTCATGCTTGCTATGATGTTATGATAGAAAATTAAATCTGCAAAGTCTGCAAGATTTGCTTCTGTGCAACAGACAGCCAGGGTCTCATGAACGCTGCTATGGTTTTCGTGTCTGATTTAGCTACGTAAATGGGAACAGGGACTGTGCCTGACTGCCGTCGGAAAACCACAGTAAACTGTCTACTGAATATGGCAACAAACTGTTACTGGCCAATCATAAAAATGTCTGGTTTTGTATGGAAAGCTTGCTCATCTCCACAAATCAAAGCCTCTTGCTGTTCTTGAAAAAGTGAATGAGAAATGAGCTGCTAGCTGCGTCTGTCCTCCTTTAGTTATTGTAATAAAGAAAACTCCATCTCGATTCACCAGAGTCATGTGGCTTTGCTTGTGTTTCACTGTCCCTAGATTTGCATCATGTCAGAGCAGTTTCTTTTGTCTCATAGGCACACACTCACACCAGTTCCCCAGTTGACTTACTAGCATCGCTTTGGGCTGTCCAAAGAGAGTGGACTGAGGGTGCTCTGTGGAAACCCACACAAACTCGGGGAGAACATGCAAACTCCACACAGACCGCACCCCAGGTCAGGAATTGACCCCAGGGCCCCCACAGTGCAAGGCAGCAATGCTAGAAACTGACCTATCCTACTGTCTTTTACTTTGTTCCTCACCCAGGCAATGGCTAATGGCCAAGAGCTGCACAGAGCACGATGATTTAACTCCTCTTGAGTCATGACAGATCACGCAATCAAGCTTTCTTTCACAGGAACCACAGTTTCCCAATTCATTGGTTCTAAGAGGCCCAGAGGCTGACTCTGACATTAACACCTATACAAATACAAATGCTCTTGCCCTGCAGATCTGGGCACTGGGGATTCACATACCCAGGGGTTCCTCTGACACAGCCTGGCAGGGGTCCTTACATCAAAGGGGAATGACCCCAATGGAGCACAGTGATGTGCACAGTCCTCAGTGTTGTGCAGAGCATCTCATGTGACATCTGTTAGCAGTTATCAGCAAACCTGCAGCTCTCCTTTTAATATATCATGACTAATAGCAGTTTCTCTTTGACTCTAGATCTAAGCAGAATGTGCTCAAGAGCCATCTCTTGGACAGGAGGAATCCCAGTCAGAGGAACTCTGTTTGTTCCTCTTTTCCCTAATGGAAAATCATCAGGAATAGGAGCAAACACTGCCTTCCACACCTTTGAATTCCTGTGTTTTGCTGCATTCCTGTATTATTTTCCTGCCCCTCGCCCACTCCCCCCCCCAAAAAAACGGAACTGCATTTTCAAAGCCGATTCATTTCTGTAGTGCATTCTGGCACGGATCCTATTCCGAGGTGTGGTTTAGCAACCAACCCTCAATATTCGACAGTGTAACACTGTTCCACACTGGTTTTCACAGCCAGAATACTGACCGGCTCTCAAGAAGTAGACCTATCTGTACTTACATCATACAATGTCGGACTTCTCAGAAACCCACGCTCTGAAATCGAGAACAGGTACGGAAGACTTTTTGAGATCAAAGCGCTTATTTTATTCTTATTTTTAGGATGCAAACGCGAAGGTCAGTAATATACTATTTGGTTGCGTTAGTCGTCCGTGAATTAAGTGACTGTTATATTCCAGTTTCCTCAAAAAGGTAGCATTTTTTTGCAAAAGAACATTCTGGTGCTCTTTTTAATTTAGAATTTTGGCTATTACCACAGTGCCCGCTGTATTGTAACAACCAAACGTTTCAAGAAATATTACTAACTTCTACAAATTCTAGAAAGTGTCGGAAACCGAGGAAAGAGGCGGAAGAAAGAGTGTTGTCCTTTTTTTTACTTTTGGGGAAAAACAAACAAATATGTACCGGAAGAGCGCTGTCTTAAAAAATTGTGTGTGTGTGTTATTGTTTCGAGGCTTCTGTAACCTCAAAGCAGCGGAGTTCTGAACTCATTACTGTGCAGTAGGGAAACGAGGACAAAGTCTGACTTCTCCATCACTTCATTAAGCGCTGGGTTCTCTTGGGGTTACTGTTATTTAAACTCTATTTTAAAAAATGAATTCAACGAGTCCATTAGCATTTCTCAAACCCATGGAGTATTATTATGCATAACATTGCGCAGGACCAAAAATGACATGCATGTATAGTTTCTTCAAAACGATTTTAAGAGAGTACTCAGAACATCGGTAATTCGGAAATGGTTTAACTTTGCAAAGGGGGCAAATCGGGGGATGATAAAAGGTATATATTTAGCAGTGTCTGAGTCATTGTGGTTAACACTGCATCTATACTGTTCTAAGCGTTAAAATCTGAACCATGTTAATGTTAATTCACAGTATCATCTTGACCTCCACTTTTAAGCGTGTTAAACGTAGAGCTGGGTTTTAAAATGAAATCGTTAACACTTCTTATCTCATTTTTGGGCTTAAAAGCAGTTCTCCTGCTGTTAGCCTCTGCGACCCTCTGTAACTATTCTTCCTTGAGTGTTTTGTCACATTTCTGAGATCCATCAACCCCAGAGACTTACTTGAAGCAACTTATTTGCGCACATTAATCTTCGGATGACTGCGCATACTGTTGCTAGCGTGTTGTGAGCCACAGGCACCATCACAGGCAGCTGACAGAAACTCGTTTTTATGTTTTTGACAAGAAGTAAACAAACTGATTCTTAACATTTGTATTATAGGATGTCGCTTGTTCTTATTAGGGTGCTGATGCTCAAAACCACAGCTTGGACAGTATAATATGCTTCCTGCTGCCTGTGAACCTCTTTTGGTGTCTTTGGTTTTTTAGTAAAATGCACTTCTGCCTATGAGCTGGCATTTTCTCCCCTCAAAAGAACCGCAAGAGTTGCGCAAACGTCCCTACTGCCATCTTTGCAGAAAGAGTGCTTTGGGGGTGTGGGGCTCATGGTCACCAGAAGGATATGACCTACCCTCTGAGGTAGTAACCTTTGACAGGCACAATGCTGTACAAATATGTAAAGGAAGGAGCTGTCTGGCTTGAGAGGAAACAAGCAGAAGCATTTGACAACGAGACAGAAAATGCCCACTTCCCTCTCTCCTCCCCCAGGTCTGCTAACAAGCCCAGAGCTACCCTTCCCCCAGACTTGCTGGTACAACATGTGACACTGCCACTACCACCCTCTGAAACTCAGCCCTTGTATTGTCTTTCTCAGCAGCTGAGCGCTGCGCCCCTGACTGAACAAGATCATCACATACTCACTGACTAGACAACCAGCTGAATGCCACCATGCACACCATCACTGGATCCCTAGGCTCCCCTCCACTGGCTCCCTGTCCGGGCAAATAGCACTCCTCCCCACATCCGACGACTTCCAATAACCCACAAAATGCTTAAAACACTCCAAAACGCTCCTCACTTGCCACTGCACACGGACATATTTAATCCACCAAACACACGTCTGCCTTCAGGAAAACCAATCTGGAAAAACCCCCCCCAGCAAGGCTTCAGTGCAGACTCCACCTGGGCTCAGGACTGGGAATCACTGCACTTAAAAGACATCACCTGCCGTGCCCAGCAACCTCCCGGCTTTCACCTTCCATGAAAATAATAATATTATAATAATAAACTTCTTTTTATATAGCGCTTTTAAAGGTGGCTTCTCAAAGCGCTTTACAGAATGACAACAACAATAAATAAAAAGAATACACAAGATAAAACACAATTCCAATACACAGAGGAGACCGTGGATGGTGGTACTTAGTATAGAAGGAGCAGAGGGGTACAGAATAGAACCAGTTCAGTAAAGGCTCTTCTAAAGAGGAAGGCGTTTAGAGAAGGTGACTCTCTCACATCCTTGGGCTTGGGGGCATAACAGGAGAAGGCCCTGTCACCCATAGAAGAGTGCTCCACTCTGATCTACTTTAGGACAGGTCATGGTCCATGTCTTGACAGTGTCACAACCAGAAATCAGAAACCTGTTACCAGAAAATGCTCTAACCAGTCCCCAGCGCTGGCGTGTTAATCAATCAGTCTCAGCTGTCTTGCACTAAACTCACCCCCGTCCCCACTCCTTATAAACCCTCCTTTAGTATCAGTAAGCGCTCGGTATTGGTTTCTCCTCTGGAGCTCCTACCTCACCTGTTGTTCTCATTGCCATCCTAATTCTTTACCCTTGGCTTCTTGGATTGTTTTGCCTGCATATCGACTACGTCTTTGCCTAGCGATTTGGATTTCATGCCTAACGCTCTAAGATCACCACACAGGGTCCTGAAATACCTTTTGGGCAGCTCTTCGTAACAGACAGCCTCTGCAGATGGGGAATCAGTGCAGCCCTCTGTGTTCCTGAAGGGATGGAGCACACTATAGAGAACATCCTAGAGGACTGCCCACTCCACAGACTCAGAGAGGACTACACACCCTCAACTCAGCCGGAGCAGAAGCTGTCACTTGGCTCAGGGACATTGTCTTCACTAAATACATTAATTCCTTTCTCCCCCAAAGCAGTGTACTCATTAATGGAGCCCTTATCAGACAGAAGAAGCTTCAGGCGCTGAAACATCACAGTAGTTATCGGGGAAAGCAACACCAGGTCTAAGCTTTGGATCATGTTCTGCTTTGGTATTCCAGAACCGTCAAAGAGGAGCGGTGGGACAGGGCCTTGTTGTGCAGTTTGCGCGGTGGTCTTTGCGTGCCTGTGGATCCTCACTGTGGTCGCCGGTCTGACCATTTACTGTGAGTATTAGTGCTATGCCTTCACCCCTGGGACTCCGGGTTCAAATCCGGGCCTGGGACTTCTGGATGTGTGGAGTGGGTGTGTCATCACTGTGTCTGAGTGGGCATTTTTGTTCAGTGCTTAGATGTCCTTCCCATCAGCCCAAGGTTACAGTGAAATGGTCCCACTCAGAGATTGATCCCTGATTCCTGCAATAAAGGGACATGGTCATCCTATCTCATTATTCTATCCCACTCGTGAATTGCTCTGGAACCTACAGTATCTTCTCCTGTGCTTGGAGGCATCGTCTATTTACTGGTATTAAAAAAGAACTTCACATTGCACTTCACTCCAGAATCAAACCAGAGTCAAACCTGATATTTTCACTCCCACAGTGTAACTACAGTATGTTGTAGACCTTGACACATCATTTAAGCTCTATTAAGGAAAGTGCCTGCTGCAAAACGAGATGCGCCGCATACGCCTTCATCTTCAAGTGCAGTTTTTAGAAGCCCCTCACTGACAGGCATTATTTGTGAAGCATTTCATTTTTATCTGTCATGAGAGAGGTGGCAGAAACGTTTGAAAATCCTCCGTTGCGAAAAGACATTTCACTTCCTCCTCTTCATGTATTTCAGTTCTAAAGTGTCTTTATGTGTCACCAACCGCAGAGACTGTGCGTAAAGCTAAGTTCTAAAAAATGCAGTAAGGTATAATAACATTAATTGCTTAAACTTATATAGCGCCTACTGTATCTGGACACTCCACTCAAAGTGCTTTACTGGTAATGGGGATCCCCTCCACCACCACCAGTGTGCAGCCCCACCTGGATGATGCTCCAGTACTCTCCCCACACACCAGCTCTCAGTGGGGAGGAGAGCAGAGTGATGAAGCCAGTTCATAGATGGGGATTATCAGGAGGCCATGATTGGTAAGGGCCAATGGGAAATTTGGCCAGGACACCGGGGTAACACCCCTACTCTTTTCGAGAAAGACCCTGGCATTTTTAATGACCACAGAGAGTCAGGACCTCAGTTTTACATCTCATCCAAAGGATGGCACTTTTTCTATAGTATAGCATCCCCCATCACTATACTGGGGCATTAGGACCTGCACAGACCTACTGGCCCCATGAACACCTCTTCCAGCAGGAACCTTAGCTTTTGTCCCAGGAGGTCTCGCATCCAGGTACTGACCAGGCTCACACTTGCTGAGCTTCAGAGGGGGTTGCCAGTTGTGAGTTGCTGGGTGATACGGCAGCTGGCAAACAGGTACTTATGGAAAACCAACACAATTGAATGAAGTTGCTGCAGTTCCCTTGCGCTGCTCAGACCTCCACACGTCAGGATCAGACAGTAATCTTGTGCGTCTCTGTTGTTCTGCCTCTTGCCTCCGCAGTCTTTTACCTTGCGCCAGAGAAGGAATTGCAGAGGACGGAGCATAACAAACAGAAAGAGAACGTGACCTGGCTGCTCACTGGTAACTCCTTCTGTTTCGCTTCACCTTTGACAAAGCAAAGCAACAGCGAGGGAGTTAGGTTACACTCTGAGCACCAGAGACACGTGGAGCCAACTCCAACAACATGGGCTTTAAATGTTTAAAGGCTCAGCTCAGTATTTCGATCTTATTATTATTTTATATTTTATATCTATATGTATTTGTATCTTTTTGGAAGTCCAGATTCACTGATTTTTCTTTTTCTTGGGAGAAGCTGTTGCTGCAGTGGCTCCAGGGCATCTGTCAATCTGACGATGTGAATCCGTCAGCGCACACAGCATGCCTGGCATCACTCGGAGGAGCGGCGCAGCTCTCCCTAAGAACACAGCCGGGTCCGTGGACTCCTTGTAGGAACACAGGGGTCGACCCACAGCGGCAATACTCCGCCAGTCACGTGCCTGTGCTTGACTGCACCTCTCCCGGTCCCAGCTGGCTAATGACAGTATTCAGACTTGTCATTGTCACTGGACATTGGGATTGTGGGCGCTGGCAGTTAACTTTCATGTTTGAAGGAAATGATCTAAATTAGAACGTCCTGGCAGTGTTTGTGTGCGCCACCCAAACTGAGGGTTTGTCCTGCATGTCCTGTTTTCTATACTGTTGTACAGTACACTGCACTTTGTGTGTTTTTTGATCATTCAGAGCTCATGTCTCGTCTGGATGAAAAGGAGTATGTCAAGCAACTGGCCCAAAACTCTCTGTCCAGACAGTTGTACAGCAGGGGTGAGTCTCAGAGACAGGTGTGGTTTTAAAACTGTTTGCAAATTCTATATTTCTGACACCTCAGATATCACCTAATAAACCTGAAGGTCTTTAACTCCATCTACTTAAACCAGGGGATTTACTTATTTCTAGATTTTTGTATTCAGATATTTCTGTTGCTTAAACATCAATTCATTGCACATACAGTATATGGTCCTTTTCATCTCAAGGGATCCCCAGATCACATTACCTATTGGTGGGGACCAATGGCACACAGTATTGAAATACAGTGATGCAAAGCCAGACATTCTGCACCAACAACCCCGCCGTACAGAAGATCAAGTGAAGGAATGGGAAATTGTTCCACCAACTAAATAAAGGGAGACCAGATTTTGCAAAGCCAGATCACTTCATCACGTGATCTTAAATGACCAAGCAGTCAGGACCTTGGCTTATTGTTTCAGCCAGATGAAATATGTATTATTATTATTATAATGGGACCACATTCTAAAATGTATTTAAAGTGGTTTTTAACTATATTAACAATATAACTATATTATAGTGGTTTGTAAGTATAATGTATCAGTAACTGGTGTTTTATAACAGGAAATGAATTATAATCTCTGGCATTTTTGTTCTACAAAATAAAAATATTTATATGTTCAATGAATTAACAAATGCTGAATAATATTTCACTTTTTTTCTCTCTTTTAGTTATAAGTGTATATTCGGCGTCGTTGGGTAAGTATTATTAGGGCAATTGGTTTGTCTGATGCATTTAAACTTCAGTCCACTTTAAACTTAGCTTTAAATCTCTCACTCTTCTTTCCATGCAGGGGTGGAGGGGAAAGTCCCTAAGCCAGGTATTTATTTTCAAATAAAGTTGTGAAAGAAATCCTATCTTTAAACCTTTGGCCTAACGCTGCTACACTAGAGCAATGAATTCTGGGAGATTGTCATCCTGAACTTTTGCTTATCAATTCTGTTGTCATGCGTGACCATAATAATACTCATCTGTTTCTGTTCCGCAGTTTGGGACTGGATCCAGGAAGCTGCAGGTAATGGCCTGTTTGAACATCAGTTATAATTCTTCTACGATCATTTCCGGAGGAAGTGTTAAGCTCATGTTCAGAAAGTCCCTGACTGATGGTGCTTCCTGTAGCTAAGAGCTGAGTTAGACACTGGCATGTATCCAGAGAGAGTCACTCTCAGTACTGGTTCAGTTTTTCAGCTCCACAAAGAGACTCAATGAATTACGTTTTGGATCATGTACAGTAGGTGTGTGTGTCAGAACCTCCTTTACCTTCGACATTGGACCACCTAGTCTCTTCTTCTCGGTGTCCGTATTCCAGCTTTGAAGTGGTATTGCAGTGGCTCTGTTCCAGACAGAGCAGATTCCTGAGACAGAGTGATACTGTTCCTGCTGGAACGGGCACCTTAGCCATCAGAGCCAGTCAGAGTGGGAATGAGGGCATATACTGGAGCACCCAGAGAGGACCCATAACTGGAAACTCAAGGCACCCCAGCCCTGACCCTGCCAGGACTCTACTGCTATTCAGTGGGTCTTCTAGTCAAATGTCCTTATCCCGTCACGTGTAAACTATTTAACATTGAAGGGTTTGTACAGTTTAGTGTTTAACACAGGGCTGAATCCCCACTGCCCTGAACCATAACCAATAAGATTTGGTTCTGTTGCTCGTCTTGGATCTCCAACTCCAACGACACCAAGGAAAGGAGTTCAGCTGGTCCTGATCATGCATGAGTTTGTTCAATGATGTGCTGTAGTTAGGAGCACAGTGGGAAGGTACACCTGTCAACACTGTAGCTCCTCAGTAGTGGAGCTGCTCATCCTGATATAATGGATGGGTTGGACTCAAGGAGTAGGGCAATACTCAGTGTTCTGTTGTTCAGCTCATAGGAACCCTCCACACAAACGGTCTCGCCCCAATCGAACACCAGCTGGAGGCAATCCCCACAAACACCGCCCATCTAACCCTTCATCCAATCAGAGAGCCTCACTTCCTAACACACCCTCCACTTCCAAACCTACTTAAGCCTTCTCCATTTCCGCTGAACATCGCTCGGTATTGTTCTTTGGAGCTCCTTGCCTCGCTTTCATAAACCATTGGATCTTGTTTTTGGATATTCGAACCCGGGACTCGCCCTCGACCTCGATCTCGTCTAGCCCTTTGGATTTGTCTGCCTTTCTCCTCCTAGATAATCTTTGGTATCGAACCCCAAACTTGCCCCCTTCTATGGCTCTGCCTAGCGTTTTGGGATCACCTGGAATCTCTCCTGACTCAGCTCCCCAACTCCGCGTAGGGCTCTTCATTCGAACAACAATGCCCAGCGTTACACAATCAAGCAATTTAATCAATTAGGCAATTGTGTGGCATGAAGGCCAGAGGGCAGTGCAGCCCTCTGGGAGTTGAATGAATTTACTTCTATTGGCCCTCAGGGAATTAGTCTTGCTCCCCAAAAGCTCATAAACATATTTAATATAGGTGGGTACCTGCGTCAGCATGTGTAGGCTGCAAAGGAACAAGTAAAAGGTTTATGTCATGCTGAAAAGACAAGAAAGGAAACAACATTTCGGCTGTGGAGCCTTCTTCGGGCGAACCACTTCTTCTCTTTTCAGCCTGGACCAAACCTTTTACTTGTTCCATTGCAACATATACTGTATCATATATGTGACACTAATACAACAACAGGACAATACCATAATACAACACAACATTTAACAACATTGCTCAAGCAGCACTCTTCCAGTACAACATTGGAAAACAGACAATTAGCTTGTAAAGAATTGAAGAACAATCGTAATAAGATCCCTACTGGCAAACAGTCTTTTCTCGGCTCAACGATTGAATGCGTTAGCTGTAAAGGACGTAAATGCTCTCTTAGTCTTTAAACAGGGGATCTGGTATGTCCTCCCAGGGGAGAGGAGAGTGTATTCTGAATAGAGTGGATGAGAGGGGTCTAAGAAATGGAAGATGCAGAAGGACGTTTTTTTTAGTGCTCCCTTCTCACGTTCACTTTATTTTCTCACTTCCACAGCTGACATAACTCTGGACCCTGAAACAGCAAACCCCTGGCTCTCCCTTTCCAAGGACAAGAAAAGAATAAGCATGGGGAAATCGTATCAGACGGCGCTGTCTGCCGGTCCGAAGAGATTTGCCATTCTTGTCTGTGTCCTGGGCAGAGAGGGCTTCACCTCGGGGAGACACTACTGGGAGGTGGAGGTGGGAGAGAAGACTGCCTGGGATATAGGAGTGGCCAAAGAGTCCATCGAAAGGAAGAATAATAGTATAATCAGTCCTAACAGAGGCTACTGGTCTATACAGCTGAGGAAAAACAATGTATACAAGGCTCTCTCTTCCCCTTCGACTGTCCTCCCTTTGAGCCTAAAGCTCCAGAAGGTGGGAGTGTATGTGGATTATGAGGACGGGCTCGTCTCCTTTTTCAATGTGAAGGAAAGGTGCCATCTCTACACGTTCACTGCCAACTTCAACGAGAGACTCTATCCATATTTTTCCCCCTCTACTTTGGACAACGGTCAAAACTCAGCCCCACTGATCATCTCTCCTGTCAGCTAGAGCGCTTGGACAAGTTGGGCTGCTCCAGTGTGTTAAGCAAAAACTTGCCTCGTTCCAAAGAAGAGCTGAACCGGACCAAGAGTTGTAACACTTTATTTCACAGAGGCCTCTGGAGCCATGATAACAAGCCACAGCCCTGCCTGGATGGACAAAGAAAGGCTCTCTGCCTAGTTTCTTGGTATCTTTTGTCTCCCCAGTTAGATTAGCTAATCATCTGTCATTCCATATAGAATTACCAATATGTATCCTCCTTGTATGCTAACACACAACTCCGAACGCTGTTGCTATAGAGCATACTTCAACACATCTAGTTAAGGATGGCAATGCTGGCACTGTGGTTAGAATTGGTGCCGTACAGCACAGGGACCCTGGGTTGCTATATATAGTTTTCCTCTTGCTGTCTGGTTTCCTCCAACAGTCCAAAGGCATACTGGTAGGCTAATTGGCTTGTGGGGAAATTGGCCCTGGTGTGAATATGTTTGTGTCCATGTGTGTCCTGCGATGGACTGGAGTCCCATTCAGGGTGTACCCACCTTGTGTTCAGCACTTCCTGGGATAGGCTGAGGGCTACCGGGATCCTGAATTGGTTAAGCACTTATTGAAAGTGATGATGATGATGATGTCTAGTTTAAAAGGTCCAGTTCTGGAGACTGTCGTTAAGCAATGCTCTGAAAAAAGCAGCAGGATACAGCTGGGTTTGCAATCAAGTCACATACTGAAAAGTGATTGTTCCACCAAGCCCATAGTGATTAGAGAAAGCAAATATTCAATTGACCCCTTTACATTCATTCCTAGGCTGGCTGATACCAAGAAAATCTTCACAGCTCTGTAAGTGAATAGCATACAGTTAAAGTACACAGTCATCTGCTTTAACATGACTGCTGTGAAACACTGCTTGCTTCAGTTTCAGTGTCACTGAGCATCTCTGCAAACTCTATCTGAAGTTCTCTGGGCATAGGATTTTGACATGTTCCCCAAACCAAAAGGAATGAGTGGGAAACAATCAAGACCACGGATAGAAGCACTTGCATTTGAATGAGTTTCAATCATGCTTGGGTACTCGTGTGATCCGACCGACTCAGTTTTAGGACACAACTGCCGCGCGTTGCACCGCGACATCCAGGCACCCCGGAGTTTCGGAAAAAAAAATTCAGCTAGGATCACAAAACCACTTTTAACTTAACTTGGGCCAAAAATCGCACCCTGAAAATAGAAATTCTGTAAGCAGTGTGTAAATGCTGATCCTTACCCTACCTGCTTAAGATCTCCTTAAGAGAGACTTGTTTTTCGTGTGAGAATATAGACAAGCACAAAGAATGTGAGACGGCAATATAGCCAAGATACACTAAAAAGAAAAACGGTGTCACATGCTAACAGTACTCAGTTGGCCACAAAGTACATAAAATCTGAAGGATTTTAGTAAAATGAAAGATCTGTCATACAGCACCAGATGATGAAATGCACATGGAAATAGATACAAGTATTGATATTTAAAGCCTTTTCAAAAGAGCAGTGATCTAACACCCCCACCACACACAACAGAATGAAATGTTAGGTAAACTAAGTTAATTCTAAAACAAAAGAAATCATGTTTATGTAAATAACAGCCCTTCAGATGGTAGGCACATTTCCTTGGTCGCTTCTGCAGTGTAAGAGAATTGTTTAATTATTCTTCTCTCCTTGTAAAGATCTTACAGACCTTGACAAACCATTTATACTCCTGTTAAGGAAGGTTTTCATTGCAGGATGGGATTCCTTGCATGTGCCTTCAATTTAAAGTGCAATCACTTTCTTAACTAGAAAATGTAGATGTACAAAGCCTGTGTACAGTATGTTCTAAATGCATTTAGGCAGAGCGGTGGCTCTGTAGCTAAGGATCCGTGCCTGTGGCTGGAAGGTTGCCGGTTCAAATCCTGTGGCTGGCAGAGGAATCCATCTCTGTTGGGCCCTTGAGCAAGGCCCTTAACCCCCAACTGCTCCAGGGGTGCCATACAATGGCTGACCCTGTGCTCTGATTCCAAGCTTCTCTCCCTGTCTGTGTGTCTCATAGAGAAAAGCTGGGGTCTGCAAAAAGATGAATTCCCAATGCAAGAAATTGTATAGGGCTAATAAAGAACATTATCATTTTTTTTTACTGATAGGATTTTTTATTGCAATGATGAAATAAACCTTCCAAAGCTCACTCGTTGTTGCTCTGTGCTTTCTGAACTGTTTCATGAGAAACTGTGTCAACCTCAACACTTACAGGCTTCTGTTCCACCCCGTTACGTATTTAAACCCCTAAGTTAGATTTAGGTATATGGAGGATGTTGACGGGGGGGTTTAAGTCACAGCAAATTTTGGCTGTCAAAGGTTCCAGCCCCCCTGGCTGTGGGAAGAGAAGACTGAGACCCCCCCGCAGAGGTTGCAGGTTCAAATCCCAGGTGACACAGTATGTGTTGTATGACAGAAGTGTAGTACAACAAGTACATGGCATCTGGAATTTGAACCCACACCCTCCCAGTAACAAAGTCCAACGCCTCTGTTCCCTGTGTCCCCCTGCTGTGGGATTGATACTGTGAGGGAGAAGAGTTCCAGCTGTCCTTGGCAGAACACACTGATACATCCAGCCCTGCCATAGGCTCCTCTGGAAACTCACCTACACTGTCACGCCCTCTGCAGCCTGAGGGCGCTCCTTCTCTGTCCTGTCCCTAGTTTCTGGTCTGCTGTCCTTCCGGTCCCTCTCTTTCCCTTGGGCTATATATTTCCGGGTCTTGGACTTTGTCCTCGCTCAGCATTGACGTTCGGATGTCCTGAGACCAGGGCGCCCCACGTCCGCTCCCTGAGGGCATAGGTTTGTATACGGCATTCCTGAACTCTTTGCACTAATGAGCCCGGGCCTTTTTCCCGTCTCGCCGCTACGCATATGGGTCTTTTTCCGCTCTCCTGCTCCCCACGGTTAGTCCCTTTGGACGTCCGTGACATACACGTTGCTTCCTCTGTGCAGCTGTTTTAGAAAGAACACGTTTGGGTCTATAACAGAAACTAGAGAAATTTGACTGAAACCCCCATTTCACAGTTCGTAAGGACCTCATTCGTTACACACTGTTTGAAAACGGGGGTCTCAGACTCAGTTCCTCGATTTCAGCCTCCTCATTTTGCGCCACATGAGACATTCACGTCGTCAAAGGTAGAGTATTCTGCTGTACTGTATATCACCTCCGAGCCTTTCTTGCATGTTCTCCTGTGTCCACGGGGGTCTTCTCTGGGTGTTTGTGAGTTATCAAGCATTCCAAAGGCATTTTTATATAAATTATACGCATGAAAAGAAGTACCGTAAACAAGATCAGTCTTCACAGGTTTCTGACAGTTTCAGTAATAAAGTAGAATATAAATAAAAAATAAGAATCATGTCCGCACACACACACAAGAAAAAAATAATTTCAATGAACCCTCCTGCGTAAAATGCACCCTTATTTCTTGGTGTCTGAATAAAATTAGCCAAAAAAGGTGTCGATTCATCATAATAGTGGGTGTGTACTATTAGGGGCGTTCACCGCAGAGATTCAAATCTGTTAATTCAGAACTTCAAACTATAAACATCCTCGATTGTAATATCATCTGTTCGCTGCACGACGGAATAATGTGTTTCAAATGTGTGATCTTCTGTTTTGCGGAAGCCATCGGCGATTGTCCTCGCTTCCAGTCCTCCTCTCTTTCACCCTTCCTGCTTCCCAGATTCGGAACAGGGTCAGGATACACCTGCCGAATGACGCAGGACAGAAATGAGCGAAGTCAGGGTGAGAAGCACAGCAGACTTTTCTGCGTGGTCATGTCCCAGATGACTAAATGAGTCGAAAATGAAATGTGTAAAAGGCCAGCTATTTAAAAAAAAAAAGACGACGGCAGCGCAAGTTTAAAAGGGAAAATGGCGCGGTGGCGCTCTTTTACCAAAGGGCGAATCAAATTGACAAAAGGCTTCTTTAAGGTTTACTGCCTGGCCAAAATGAAGGCTCTTTTTTGGGGCTCTTCTGTCTCTCTAACTCCCCCCCTCTCTTTTTTCTCAGACGCTAGTTTCCTTGCCGTTTCTGAAGGCGTCCCCGCTCTCCTGCAGCACACTGGATCACCAGACGGCTTAGTTACAGCGCGACCTTTACACACCTGACAAACCAGAGCACCGGTTTCTAAAGAGGGATTCAAACTGAAACGGCTCTATTGGCATGACCGAAGAATTACAGTCGCGCCAAAGCGGAAACAGCTAACAGAATTTAAAAAACATTTACAGAAAAAAAATATTACTGAACATCCCTACTGTATATACAGTATCTGCATATCTATCTCTTATCACCGCAGTAACTATCGGCACCTTTGGCGTCAGTCTCAGACACACCTCGGCTGACGGTATGTCACATAAACAGCTTTTAACCACAAGGTAGAAAGGTGTAGGCAAAAACATAGTATGAGATATAGTAAAATTAGCAGGAACAGTAAAATGGATGGTAATATTTACAAGTCTGTTCTCGAAATTGAGAAAAAAAACGATGGCTGTATTATACTGTACGGTATTAAAAAAGCCAGCTGGATAAAAAAAAAAAAACATCAACCCACAAACCCGCACACCTGAGTTCTTCGGAAATACACATTATTGCATCTGAAATATTCCAGGCAACATCGATTAACAACGTTAAGCGGTTTAATTGCAACGTCCTAGCATCGCGCTAAACCTGTTCTCAGTTGTCATCAACCCACAGTAACAGCTGCTGCCCTCTGGAGGTGATGACATTGGAGGGACTTCAATTAGACCGCCTCTGCACATGGTTTAAACAATTTAGGAGCCTTCCAAGAGGAACACTGGATCACGTTAGAACGTTCCAGAACAAAGTGGAACCAATATTGTCACAATGTAATGAATTTATGCATCTGTCGCTTGGTACGTTTGCAATATGTAACAAAAAATGCTTTCCAGAATCACTACATTGATTAATGATGAACCTTATTAATTAAAGTCTCATTTTGGGATAATTAATATGAATGTCTATCTTTATTAGTAGCTCTTTTACAGCTAAGGTTTGTAGAACCTTTAGTAAACGATAGTGAATATTCAGATAGCCCGAGGAGAGAGGAGAACGGACATTAAGGAAATACTATACAAACTTAAAAAGAGTGTAAGTCTTAAACGGGTTCGGTCAATCTGGGTGTCAATTTAATACATCTGATGCATTTTCATTGTAATGGGAAATAAAATGTGGTTCTCTGTGGAAAGCAGGATTATTGGGGAATTGGGGTACAGAGAATAAGTTGTATAGGCAAATACACTACAAGTGTACGCTAAAGAATAAAAACTCTTTAACTCCAACAAGAGTAACCACTGAAAGTGCATAAGACTTACCTTTGTAATTTTGTGTCTGCAATTATAGCCTATACATAAAATTCGCTTATTCTGCTGAAGGATCTACGTATGACTCTATGTAATTTATCAATGGACCTAAAACAAAAG